GTCTGGAACCAGCTTCCAAGTGAGGTGGTGCAGGCTCCCACCCTGGGGGTTTTTAAGAGGAGGTTGGATGACCACCTCTTCCTGCCATGGCAGGGGATCGGACTAGATGATCTGCTCAGGTCCCTTCCGACCCTAGAAACTATGAAACCTATAAGTTTATGGACAACAGCTGCCAAATCCCAATCATTACATATTCCTACTGCTTAGCTGAATTTTACATTGCCTTGTGACTAGCCTCAAATGCTTGGGTTCTGCAATTTCAAATTGTCGGATTTATGAAGTTAACACAAGATTTCTAATATATTAAATACTTTAGATGCCCCCTTGTATTCCCTAAGTACTCACTCTAAATGGTAGGATGTTCTTTTTTTTTTTAAAGTTTCAGACTTCACAGAGACTAAAAAGTGGGAGGGAGTAGTGGAATATGGAAAATAATTCCAATATATTTAACTATCTTCAGGTTTCCAGCCCAAGGCATCAAAAACTAAAGCTCATTACTGAAGGTATTAGAAAAGATACTATCAGAATATAGCCAATATCCTTTACAATGTGGGAAAATAATCTGTAGAAACCCTTTAAAGCCAAAATGGACCAGAGATTCAAAGAGGTCTCAGTTTTGTGTTTCACAGTATAATTTATGTGCTGAAGGGATCAACTGAAAACTGCTACAGAAACTGAAATCTCAACTCTGAAGGGTTTAACACTTGGGTATTACATAAGGGAGCTATTTAATCAACTTACAAAAAAATTCAGATCACCTCTCCCCTGAAAAGTCAGGTCTACCTTGTTTTTTAAATAATGTAGACACAGCAACTGTTTGTTTCATTAGAACTATAACTACATTACTCTATCATCACAGGAAAGTTACTCCAGCATGAACATGTAAAAAAAAGTACTAAAACAGTATCAGAAACAGGTAGAAGCAAATCACTCCACATTTCCAAAATCTATTTACTAAATGCTGTTTGTCCTTGTCTCTCACAATTCACTTCACAGTGACAATTTAAAAAGCTCATGGAGAACTTACAGGGTTCTGTTAGAAAAGATACAAGATTGAATTGTTGGCAACTTCTGAAACCCTCTTACAAGAATTATCCAGTAATTCCCAGTGCCTAACTAACATTTTGCCAGTTCCTTTGCAGAATGCTTACAGAGGTTTTCAGTAGCACAGAAATGGCAAACATATTAGCTGTGTAGAAACTGCTTTGGTTTATTTGAATTCTCACTTGGTTCAAGGGCAGGAGATCCACCCCACTAGCAAGCACACAGGACAAAGTAAACACTCAGAGAACTTGTTAACATAAAACACTTTTCCAATGAGGCTGGGGGACAGTGTTTCTTTTTACCAAATCATTCCTCAACTATTTATTTATAATAAGCAATGAAATGTATATTCTAGGTCAACTTTAACCCCAGCCAGCACATGGGGCTACTGGGTTATGCTGCAGCTGTCTTTTTAAAGGAGGCAAAGCTCATTAGCTTTTAACTAAACCTTATCTTACGGGATCTCCTTTATCCAGTCTCTGATTTCCTTTGGTTTTATCTTGCTCTTTCCATGTTCTCAGCAGCCAGCGGCATGAGCTACTCCTCTCTTTTGACCCACCAATCTGGCTCTTAGCAGGCTTGCAGGACAGCAAGGCCAATTACAACATACCTTAGATACAGAGAAAACTACATGTGTGAATAAGGATCTTCTGCTGGAAACTTGCAAGCGGGACAACAATTTTAATGCGTCCTGAGTATTTACATATGAAAGCAACATTCATGCTTGGGTACTTGCTTTTCATTTAGTTTTAAGACCGTAGAAATTGATATCCAAATATATTAGCATCTGCTCAGCTCTTGTCATCTGCATTAGCTAAACAGTGCATAACACAAGTGTGAAATTTAAGCTGATGATGCTTCAGAGAAAAATGCAAGACCAATTATAAACAGCTGCTGTATTTCCTTGGCAGATTTAAAGCTGGTTTCTTTAAACTTAAGCAGGGGTGCACATACAGAGAAGGATAGATACTAGAAATTCTCCAGAATGTGATATCCATAAATCTGACTCCCATGGAAAATGCTATTTTAAGAAACCTGCTACTTTAAGTAACCAACACTCTTGGGCAAGAAAAAACCCCCAACATTCTGACATAACAGCAAAAACAATTATTATTAAAAGCACCAGAAAGCAGGATGAGAGAAAGATGGTTGATCATCAAGAGTAGCCACACAAGACACCAGTAAAATTTCTTTACCACTCAGCAATAAACTATTATTTAGGGTGTTGGCAAAAGTACCAGTTACCACTTTACCACTTCCTGGTGCAGAGGGCACCTCTGTGGAGTTTATTTGAGGTATTACTTTCCTTGGCCATTTGTGTGGCAGGTAGGAACATACTATGAGAAAGAACAGACATACAAATGCAGAACTTCTGTAGACAAGAGATTAACCTGCAGGTTTTTTTGTTTCTACATGGCACAGTGGTTCTAATCCTTTTAGATATATCTTCAGAAAATTTTTGAATTTGACAGCCCCCTGATTAATAATCACTGTGACGCTGTGGTCAGCTTTTGTCAGTGGTTCTCAACAAGGGTGGTGCTGACACAGCTGCCTTTGCCACCAGGTAAAAGTTCCCCACACACCTCGTGGCCTCAGATAGGGAAGTGATACATATGCTCTTGCCTCCATTAGGATTATCTGTAGGCGTGGCAGGATTTGATTTTTTTAAAATCCGTAAATGTTGATAAATGCTGATTTCACCT